CTCCCCAAGTTGAACAAGAAGAAATCGAGACCCTAAATAGACCAATAACAATCCAGGAAATTGACTATGTCATAAGAAAACTACTTACCAAAAAAAGTCCTAGATCATTTCGCTTTCCAGCAGAATTCTACAAAACATACAAGGTGGAACTGATGTCAATTCTACTGAAGGTATTCCAGGCAATTGAGAAAGATGGAACTCTCCCCAAATCATTTTACAAAGCTAACATCACAATGATACTCAAGCCAGGTAAAGATTCAACAAAGAAAGAGAACTGTAGGCCAATATCCTTGATGAACATAGATGCTAAAATTCTTAACAAGATCCTAGCAAATTGATATCAACAACACATCTCAAAAATCATCCACCATGAACAAGTAGACTTCATCCATGGGATGCTGTGCTGGTTCAACATTTGTAAGACCATAAACATATTTAAATACATCAACAGATGTAAAGTCAAAAACCACATGATTATATCATTAGACATGGAAAAAGTTTTTGATAAAATCCAGCACCTTTCTTGATAAAAACCCTTGAACATCTAGGCATAGATGGAACATACCTCAAAATAGTAAAAGCCTCAGCCAGGCCTATCCTAGAATGGAATTCTCCTATTGTGACTGACATCCAGACTCTGCCCTGGTTTGTCTTTCTCAGTCATGCCCCAGCTGTATGGGTCTGACATTCAGAGGATTGCTGGGGAGGAGGGGTTTGGGTCAGCCCTGGACTCACCACTGATCTCTTCATATGGGGGGCCAGCCCCCCAAAAGAGATTTAGAGGGTCCCTGGAAGGTGGGGCAGTGTTGGCGAGCATTCTGGAGAAATAAGGAGAAAGAAAGAGACTGGACTCTGTCTAGTGCAGAAGCTGATTCTGTAGTAGGGATAGATATTAAAAGAAAGAAAGATGGAGGGATAAATATAATGAGGAAGAAAGAGAAAGAAAGAAAGTGGACAACTGTTCAGTAAAATGAGCAGAAGCCATTTATTGGGACCAACCGTGAGTCTTTTATCCCAAATTTTCACATGTTAAATCACAAGACTTTCATGTGAACACAAAGCCAGGTAGGTGAGGCGCATCCCCCCCACCAGGTGTTTTCCCAAGCATGAGGAAGGACAATCCCAAAATTATCTCACTGTTCCTTATGCTCGGTTTATGTTCTTCAAAAGCAATACAACAGTTTTTACATCATAAAATCCTAATAATCAATAACTTCTAAAACTTATGCATACCCAACACCTAATGACTGACTTAAATCCTAATACCTTTCTATTCTGTGCTAACTTTACCTGTACTATAAAAAACTCTTAATTATAGGTCAGACCAGTTCCTAAAGAATGTGGCCCAGTCCAAAGATCACGCTGGGCCATTTCCAGGAACAATTGATTATGATCTCTTAACAAAATGGCTATTCTAAAATCCTATGTATCTGTCTTAATTTCTATAAAAGTTTCTAATTCCTAATCCTGATATATGAGGCTGATCATCAGCAATAAAGCTTCTAAAATAAAACCCAAACACAAACTGTAATTGTACTAAAGCCAAAATCACAATTAGTAGAAGGTGGGAACAATGAAATTTCAAAAGTTAGCTGTATTCTTCTAAAACCTTATAGTATCATGTTTGATCATGCTTGGACTAACATAATTCCCTGACGTAGCATGACCTATTAGAAAATACTTTCTATGAATTCAGTTTCTGTTATAAGTAGAAAAAACTTACACTAATTGTAACTAAAGAACCGTATTAAAAGAAAGCAGCCCAGCCCCAAATGAACGCTGGGCCCTTAGGGATGTGGCCCAGCCCAAAGTTCGTGCTGGGCCATTTCTGGTAACCCTAGATAACCATCTCATGCTGGAAACAGCTCTCTAAATGTATATACTAATTCTACAAATATATTTTTAAATCTTATAAAGAAGCTTGTATCACGTATAAGGCTCCCAAATGTGATCTGAGTTTGAACGTGTTAAGTTTAAAGCCGAAACCGCAGTCTGTGAGAAGCGGGAACAATGGATCCCTAGAGTCAGCCATGCCTGTCATATTCTCAGAACTTCATGCTTAGATCGTTAAAATCCCTACCAGTGGGTAATGCTAAACAACAAGGAAAGGAGGAGGGAATGGGCCTTCAGCTCCTGAGCCAGCCTGGTGGTCTCAGGGTCCGCAGCCTGCCTGGATCCCTAACGCTCAGGCAGGCATCCACGGCTGGCTCCCAACACACAGGCAGAACTGAGGGGTGGCTATGGAACTAGAGGCACAGCTGGGGACACAGAGGAACTTTATGGGGGGCTGAATGTGTCTTGTGTCTTGATTGGTGAAGTGTCACATGACTGTTTGCACTGAAAGTTAGTTGAGGCTGGGCACGGTGGCTCAAGCCTGGAATCCCAGCACTTTGG